AGATACCCCGTTGAATTTTCCTCTTGTTATTTTTCACCTACTTGCTGACCTTATTCATTACCTCTGACGAGTATATGTTTAGCTGTCAGCTGCAGCAAAACAAAGAAACCCCATTCTTCACGTGTCTGTTTACACCCTATCAGGTACAAACCCCATCTGTATCATTTCTTCAACTTACACGAGTAATTTTCCTGCAAGACCTTTTAACATCTGTGTCCCCTGTGTCTGAATCAGCTGCTTTTGTTGATTTGGCAAAGACTCTGGCATATGCTACAAAGAACATATGGTCTAAACATGCCTTTCTGTTACAAGACAAGAGAGTGAAATTCCTCTGCAGATCTCTACAGATTGGAATCAGAACCAACCTCTGATGTTCTGTCTTTTGAGGCAACTGCTGACATTAGTGAGGCAGAGCAGAGCTCTTATGTCCCTGAGAGAGCATGAGAGGCAGCAGAGGTGGGAGATATGTCCAGGGACAGGCACCACAGTCCAGGACTGATTGTGAGATGTGAAATGTATGTGACTTGTTGCTGTCGGAAACAGGTAAGTCAGTAACGGTGTTGATACTACAGACAACTGAAAGTAAACGCTATGGGAAAAAAAGGATCTGTTTACAATACTTCTGAGTCAAAGGCACACCACAGCGAGGACAGAAAAGCGGGTCCGTGATGGACCACACTGTGGTTCTGAAGGTGAGGGATGTGTAGGGTAAAAGAGCCGCAGGAATAAAGGGGCAAGTTTGAGCAATTATTAGGTTTGCCAGCGTGATAAACAAAACCCTCTCTGTCAACAGATGAATGACTGTCAGTGTCAAGTAGTATCGCGAGATCTTTAATCCTGTCCTGAGCAGGAGGAGATCCTGACTGACCCCAGCGGGTGTGAACAGGCAGGTTTTTCTGAAGAGGTACTTCGGTAATGAGAGTCTGTCTCAGAGGAATGCATACCCAGAACTCCTCGAAGTAAAGTTTTGCAGCAGGTAAACGTCTGTACTTAAGGGACATTGTGCATTCACACTTCAACAGGCATCTGTGGCTGTTTGTGTGACCGTCAGATGACTACAAGTGGCGTAATTGTGAAGTACAGTTACCTCAAACTAAACATGCTGAGTGCATGACACGCTGGTACAGCACCCATGGAGAGAGATGATTTTAAAGCTCACAGACACATTATTTGCCTTCAGGTGTATTTCTAAGTGAAACAGGGCCGAGACACATACTTGCAAAGAGCTGAGAAAGTTCGAACCAGTTGAACCTGAAGAGCAATGCCTGGCTACAACCTTATTTGGGGAGAAACATTATTTCTGTTATTTCTCCACTCTAACTTCCAGTTATCAGTCACGGGGCAAAGAGGTTTAGGGAGGAGCTCCGGGCTTTTGCTCGCTACCCGGGGCAGTAGGAAGGAGTTAAGGGGCGATCGTGCCCCCGCCAAAGGATGTCGGGGGGGGGGGGGGGGGCTGTGGATTCCCCAGGGACACCGCCACCCCAAAGCAGGCTGCGAGGTACGGGCCCGCGAGATGCAGCAGGGACCGGCCAGAGCAGTTAAAGCAGCTCTCGCTTGCACATTTACTTTCCTCCGCCTGCACCGAGCGCCGCCCCGCAGAGCCGCCGCTCCCGCCAAGCGAACCGGGGCCGCCCGTCCCGCTCCGCGCCCGGTGCCGGCTCCCAGAGCGTTACAGCCCGGCCGCGGGGAGACGTGCCCGGTAACCCGCGGGTCAAGCGAGCCGTGCTGGAGACAACCAGAAGTTTCCAGCCGGCCAGCTCCTCCGCGTCCCTCCTCCTCCGCGTCCCTCCCCCCCTTCCCTACGTCCCTCCTCCGCCACCGCCCCCCGCTTCCAGACACTTCCAGCCCAGCGCCTCCGCCCCCCCCCCCCGCCCCGCGGCGGATAAAGCCGCCGGTCCCGGCGCCCCCGCCCAGCACTGAGCACCCGGTCGCGGTCCCGGTCCCAGTCCCGGTCCCGGTCCCGGTCCCGGTCCCCCGCACCCGGCCCGCCATGAGCGCCGCCGCGCAGTCCCCGCCGCCGCCGCAGATGGAAGGCAGCGCCGATCCGCTGCCCCCCGGTTGGGAGATCAAGATCGACCCGCAGACGGGTTGGCCTTTCTTCGTGGATCACAACAGCCGCACCACCACCTGGAGCGACCCACGCGTGCGGGCGGCGGCGCAGGTACGGCGGGCGGCAGCCCTCCCGCGTCCGTGTCCCGCGTCCGTGTCCCGCCGCGGAGGGGGGTGGGCGCTCCCCCGCAGCTTTGCATGGCAATGCAGTGAGGGCAGGAGCTGCCTTTTGTCTCTGACGCACTGCAGTCCCTTTTTTGTGCATTAAATCATTTGATACCGCGGCTCTGTAATGTTTATTTAAAGTTGGTTAAGTCCCCCCGGCCTGACAGGGGAGACGCGAACCTTGATTTATTTTTCAGCTGTAAACAGCCCAAACAATGAATGCGCTTAAAAAAAGAAATAAGAAATCCAGCCCGGACTTTTGCTTGTCAAGTTTTGTTTTCGCTTTTTTTTCTTTTTTTTTTTTTTTTTTTTTTTTTTTTTCCCTGGTCACAAAGTATCTCAGTAGCTGTCTGGTCTGGTTTTGTTCTTAAGCATGCTCAGAGAAAAGCCGTATCTTAGTCCAAATATGTCCATGGAAGGAGAGGCGCGGAGGGGAGAGCGGTTGTGATTTTGTCGGGGCCCTCCGGAATGGCCCTTCAGGCTCCATTCTCTCGAATTTGGGGGGTTACAGCCCTCTGACCCGCGCTGGCATTTTTGCAATGCAACGGCTGGAGGCAGAAAGTGCTGGAAACTTGAGCCGAACAAGAAGTTGCCTGGTGGGGAAACGATTCCCCGGGGGTTTTCGGGCGCTTTTCTCCCCGGGTTTCGCCGCCTGGAAGGGGGCTCTGCCACGTACCCGGGTGCGGAGCCTGGGGCTGGCCCCGGGGGGAGCGGCCTTTGCTTCTCTAGCCCGTAGGAAAAACCTGAGGATCGATGCATTCAGTCGGTGTTATTCTTTTCAGAACGTAATGTTTCTTAAAATACTAATTGCCCTGTTTGCAAGTGCAGACTGTGGCTGGAAGCTCGGTGTGAGAGGGGCCTGGTGTTGAAAAGAAATGAAAGGGATGTACTTTCCTATCACAAATTAACCCCCTTTTCAGCTTTTTAAGGGCTGGTGAATTTGATCTAGAAATAAATGGCGTGATTCTCGTAATAATACAAAGAGGCCTTAGAAAAATGTAATTTGATAATATGAATATTGAGACTGGCATAGGAAAAAGTGCTTTAACTCCTCTAGAGGCACCATCTTCCTGCTGTGATGAGGCACCTGTTAACACCGGCCGTTATGGCAGTAAAAATAAGAAACAACGTGTTTTTTTATAGCCATAAAACATACTCGAGAAGTGTGCTGTTTACTCAAGGGCTTTTGTTACAGAAATACCACTTGAAACCCATTTAACAGAAAAGTCACATTTAAGCTGCTTTTGATAATTTTGTGAAAACAGAAGTTGAAGCACTCTGGTGGATCAGTACTTGAGTGGGTGCCTGAAACCCCAATGCACCCCAATCTGATGTGAAATCCACGGTAATGAAAAGTGCCTCTTCCTCTGCCAGTTTGCAAGGGTTGGTACAGATAGAAAAAGTTGCACCTGCTTTTGAAGGGCTTTTGTGGATACACTTTTCTCCGAACAGGAAAATTTGTTACTGCTCAGTATAAGCAGGAATGTGTGTATGCTTCAGGATCGTTCAGGGAGAGAGAAATGCTTCCAGAGATGAATATGGGAAATTGTTGATTTTTGGGAGTGTCTGTCTAATGTTGTTCAAAGAAAAAAAAAAAAAACAGTTTATGGTGATGGAAGTTGCATGTAACTGATCTCATATAGCCATTTGTCAGAGCCTGAGTTAAGAATATCTACTGGAATTAATGGTCAGCTTCTGAAATAGTTTGTTAAGTACCAGTATATTTCACAAGGACAGGTACTATTTAGCAAAAGAATCTCAGAATTGGGCCCAAGGAAAGTATATCTCTTCCTAAATAATATTTTCTTAGCTAGACAATGCCAGAGAAGACATTACCCACTGACACTGAATTTCAAATCCAGCAGTGGTCTTTGAGGGCATTAGACTTTTTTTTTTTTTCTTTTCTTTTGTTTTTTTTTTTTTTTTTTTTTTGTTAACCTAAACAGGTAGGAAGGACAAAGTCACAGATGTAGGCAGAAAGAGAGACCAGATATGAACAGCTTTCTGATTTTCCTCATTGTCAGTTTAGCTCAAATGAGAACTTGGGCCTTTTAGAAGTGATGTAAGAATTGCAGAAGCTGACGGTGTGTCAGATTGTATGCAACTTTTCAAGGATGATGATACAAAGATCAAATTTACTGACTCCATCGCTGCCTTGCTTTCATTGAAATCAGCCAGTGAAACTAGCCATTTTTTTAATTACTTTTATGACGGTCTTTAAATAACCCCTATAGTATATCTGTCAATATTCTCTAAGTACTTGTTCCCTTTCTGAAGAGACCCAGGCAACGCAATGAGGTATTACACTGTGAGTGGACAATGAACGGAGCACAGGTCTAAAGCTAACGGAGCTTTTCTAGCTAAGTAGTATTAGCTCAAACAGTATTAATAATGAAGTGCCATTTTTCTCAAGTGGTTGCTCTTGGTCTTCTCACTCTAGGCTTGACATCAGTGTAACTATGCTGACTGCAGTAAACTGTACCAGACGCAAAATGAGAAATGGCTCTTTTAAAATTTTAACCCACAACAGAGTCACTTTAAATCAATGGAACCAGACCTTGGTTTTGCACTTAACTAGGTATTTTAGATGTGTTCATCAATTCAGATGATGCTCTGTTATTTTTTCATTCAGTCTGACCTTCTTTTTCCCACATGAAGGATGGGTATTCTTCCTCTGTGTGTTTAGCTCTGATACTTGTATGAAACTATAAGGCTGGACTAGGGAGACCTTCCTGAGAAAGAACAGAAAATCTATTACTGTACTGCAGTGAGAAATAAGCCATGACTTTGCAAATGACTGAAAAACATTTATTAACAAAACCACTTGGTAGACTAATGATTTTCTTACAAGTGTCTAATTCGTTAATAGTAAGACATTCAGAGAATAAGGTACAATCAATATTGTGTGGCATGTATATACATACTTTTACTAAGTGAGTGTTTACTAGCAATGTCACTCTTCCTCTATTTCTTTGGTAGAATTATTGATTTCCTAGGCTTATCTATTGTTGGTATTTTCTGTGTTAACTTATGTCAACGCAGCTCAGCATACATTCTGCAAGATTGTCTTATAATGCTAAATTGTTTACTTGGTATTTCCCAAAGTGTTGATGAAAATAGATAAAGTTTAAAGAAAGAAAACAGAAACAAGGCTTGTACAAGTATTTATTGATGCCCCTTCCATATGTTGTTTCCACATGCAATAAACCCAATGGGAAATACTGCAACTAAAAATAGACCAAAGGAATTGACTGTGCTGAGCCTCACTGAACTAATATTACAATGATCAATAGCTCACTAATGCCTTGGGTTTGAGATAAAAGCTGTACCAGCCAGCCACAAAGTCTGGGAGCCATCATAAAAATTATATCTTTATTGGTTGCAGCAATGACTGCACAGGCCTAAACAAAGGAAGAAGAAGCCATCTCACCCTCTTACTGATGGCGTCGTTGGTATTTGGGGAACAACCACCTAAGTTTTTTCATCCTCGCCCTTCATGACTGTTGCAGCTCTTTTCTCTCTGCTTCCCCAAATAAGTCTTAAGTCACTTGATTCCCATCTCTTTAGCAGTGAACTTATTTTTGAGCACTGACTTCTCACGTTTGAGTTGACTGAAAAATTCTTGCTAGACCAAATTAGAAATTGCATCGAAAGTTCAATACAGCCTCTCTGTGTCTTTTGCAGTGGTTCACATCAGTGGTAGGGAATGTAAAACTAGGTAACAGTTTGGGTCTCTTCTACCTGCAGTGGTTTTTACCTAACTTATGCTGATGTGCATTCTGTCACTGTCAGATTAATAAATTATTGGATTAAAAAGGTACTGAATATAAAAGGCATAGTATGTAGGAGTGGTAAAATTACCAGCAGGGGATTTTTGGAGAGTTGTGGACCAGCTTTGCCCAGATTCCTTGAAGCTGCTTTGTGTAGTTTTTTAAAGCCCCCCTTGATAGAACACAGGGGGCTAATTGATGGAGCTACCAATTAATCTGAAAACAAGGGGTGGATCAAACTGGAAATAAGAGAAAGGAACATGAAGAAATGACACTAGAAATAACGTGTCAGTGTCTGGGCAATTGTGCAAGAGGAAAAGCAAGGAAGGTCTTGCATGGTTCTGTGTAATTTCTGACACAGCGTGCCTCTTACCTAAAGGAGAAAGGAAGAATACTTGGGCCAGGCGGCAGCGTTCTTACCTGGAGTCATATTTGTAACACTTATATACATGGGCAGGAGCTTTCCATAATCACATGGCAAAAATAGAATTGTTCCCACTTGAACCATGATAGGGCAGGTAACGATCCAATATGCTTTGGGTTATATAGGAAGTATCACTCTCTAGGTAAGATCTGTCTCCACTTTCTTCTGTGGCAGCTATGCCCTCTCTGCATGCCAAGAATAGAAGAAATGGCCTGTTCATGCAAATTACATTACTTAATTATGGATGAAAAATGCTGTATCTTCAAATATGTTGCAGAAGCTGTTGGTTTGATTATTTTTCCTTATTGGTTTTACAGACAGGAAAATGAGACGTGGGGTAGTGAAGCAACTTGTCACTCAGTAGTTCAGGTAGCCTGAAAGTACATTTTTACAGCTGACAAAGCCTTATAACTGATAAATAGGATGCAGCGTAGCAAGTGCTTTTATAGTGTTGGAGAATTTCTGTGTAGGGAAGTGAAGTCAGAAAACCGCTATGTGCAAAATGAAATTTAGATGAAAATGCAGACCCTGACTACAACCTGTGAAATTCACAGCTGAATTCTCAATTGTTAGCTACTTATTCTCCTTTTTTTTTTTTTAATGGGACATTGTTTTGTTAATTCTTAAGGCTTGTACTTTCTTTGGTGTTCCAAATTTCTGGCTCACAGCTAGTAGCAGAAAAAGCAACAGGTTGACCACCTGCTCTTAGGTAAGCAGGCAGTGAACAGAAATAACTCGGTGAAGTGTGTCATTCTCATCACCCTTGACAAGGATATTTCTGTTAGTGATCTAAAGGGCTTTTCTGTAACCCCGTCCATTCAAGCTGACAGGATGGCTGGTGATACCAGCTTGCTCCTCAGAGCGCTCTGCTCTTCGTATCAGTCATTGCTTCTTTCTCTGAACATGTTCAGTTTGGCCCATCAGATGCTTTCTGTGCATGGGCCAGCTTCCACTCGTGAGCATAAAGGGCGAGTGTTGTCATGTCTGTGCCAAGGCATTTTAGCGTAAGAAAGAATCATCTTAGTGATAAAAAAGAAAGGTTTCAGTTCCTGAAACAAGATTAGTCCACGAGATAGCCAACATGTTTGCTCCAGTAAAGGTGCTCTGTTCTGGAAAGCTTAGGATTAGATTTCTCCTTCAATTTTTAATAGTGTTTGTTTATTTCCAGTGACATCATTGCACTCCATCAGTTAGAGCATATGTTAATGTAATACTTGTATAATACAACATGATAATTACAAGAGGGAACAAAAGCCTATTTGCCTACACATGTGTAGGTTAGGAAATGAAGCTCGGCATTCAACAAGTAAAACATCAAAAGCAGCTTGGCGTATAAATGGGTTACATGATGTGACCGACACGAAGTTCTACTGAGACAGCTCATGCGACTAAGCTTATTCATGGTTTCCTTCAGTCATTAGCTAATGATATCTTGCTCAAATGCCTATGTGCTCAGTGTGTATGTTTAAACACAAACTGTGAGTAGAAGAGTGAGAATGTAAAAAGCTTCAGTGGCTGAAGCACGGCAGTAGGAAGTTAGGGGTCAGCGCTGAGAGCAAATCACTCTCCACCTTCTCACCTGTATAGTTCTCGGGGAAGTATTCATGAAATGTATTTTATGCTAACATTGTAATATTAATATGCTTAAACACAAAACACTGAGAGACTTTTTAGAAATACTCGGATATACCGATTTCTGTGGGTAGCAAAGCTAGTATAGTAGTTCTGGTTTATCTAGTCAGTGAAACGGAGGAGGGTGAAAAAAAATGGTCTGGCCGAAAGTAAAATACAAGTGGATATGGAATCCAGTTCTAATGGTTAAAAGTTTTGCCTTTCTGTGACATAAAAAGTTGTTGTTTTTTTTTTTTTTTTAATAAATAGAATTGGTACATCATTCTTAGGTTAGAATATTAGCTATTACTGGCTTTTTTGGTTATTCATGGGAATTTCTGATAAAAAATAGATTTGAGCATACGTGCAAAGAAAAATTGTCATATTTCAGCAACTCAGTTATATTGTTGTATTCTGTTGTGAAAGAACAGAAGCATACTACTCCCGTCTTCCTAAATATGTAGGATTGGGGCTTAAAATCACAGGAAGTGTGCTCTCAAGTCAGATTCTGTCAGATACTGGCATTTTCTCAGTCATTTGAGCAACCAGAATACTTTTATTTGCATGATACTGTTTACAGTAGCAGCTTAAAAGATCAGAACCATACTCCAGTCAGTAGACCTCCTCTTTGCATACAGCAAGAAATATTTCATCTCTTGGTAGTGTTCGTAAACTTTGTGTTCCTTTGCTAGATAATACACAACAAGTACAATTTAAATATTTGCACTGCTGCTCTGCAAGGGCTACAGAGGTGCTACGTGTGTGTATAATACATACAAGCTTTAAAGAACTGAATTTACTGTACTACAAATAATATCAGTACAAGTCAAGAAAAATGCAAGAGTGTGATGGCAGTGAAACCTGCTTTTTAACTTTTTCTGTAGATCATTTTAGTATAAGAGGAATGAAAAACGTAAGTATTCTCAAAAGGGAGATTCCAAGTTTGATACAACTATTAATCTAGTGTGTGTACAGAGTATTTTGACAAAGTTAATTCTATTGGTACAGCCATCTGGATGACTCCAGTGGCAATTTGCTAGCATCAGCAGTGACTGAATTTGCAGGTTGCTGTGTTTCTGTCTGGACTAACACTTGAGCAGTCGCTGGGGCACATGAGGAGTTATGCCATTATCCACTCCAGATAGATAGCACAGCTGTACCAGCAGTTTTGTTGCAAGGTTGTGGTTTTTTCTTGCTGTCATTTTTTTCATGCTGGTGGCACACCGTGTCAGAACTCACTTAAAATCTGAGCACGTTTGAAAAATCTGGGCAAGTTTGAGGATTTTAGTGTCACTCCTGACTGTGCCCTTCCCATGGGAAGCCAAGAGTAGGATGTGGGGGTATGAAGTGTTTTTTCCAGTTGCACAACTCATGCTGGCTGCACCTTTATTTATCATGGTGATGGCCTCACAACAGAAACGCATGCCCTCGTCCGGAGAGGTGGACGTGCTGGCATTCCTCCTGAGCAGATCTCCCAGAGCTGCTCGGCTGTCCCACTCATGGCTTGTCCAAAACACAGCAACGCTTTTTTTCTCTCATTTGACTGGTGATGGTCACTCCTTTATGCTCGATCAGCAGCTCCTGAAATGGTGGATCAGGTCTGAGTTTCTGGGGGTGTTTCAGGTGGTAAACTACCTGGAGTTTAGGCCAGCACAGCTGTCAAAATTTCTGAGCTCTTTGAGGGAGTTCTTTGCATTTTTGTGCTCCTTCCTTTTTGGGAATTCTGCCCCTTAAACATAAAATAAGCATGTGATCACAGCTGAGATTCCTGCAGTGTTGTCAGTCCTACTACTTACGGGAAAATTCATTGACATTATTTTGCCTATAATTACTCTCAATTTTATTGTCAAAGAACTTCTTGTTTCCTTCGGTGAGGGCAGAAGAAATTGACTTAATTTTTTTTTAACAGAGAAATCTGAGTTGGGTTCCCATTTTTTTTTTTGTACTTAAACTGGAAAGGATAATGGACTAAGGTTTGTCATTCATTTATTGGTCATACCTCTTTGTGGAGTTTTGTGTTAAATGTGAGCTCTGGGCTTTTTCAGATAACATGTTAATATAAAGAGCAAGAACTATATTTGATAGAAGGCAAACAAAAACCAAAAATGGCCATTTTTGGTCTCCTGGCTGGCTGTCCTGTGAAACAGGAATTAAAGCATTCAGAGGGAATCCATGAAGCTCTTCTCTACAGTATTAAGATGGGAGTTTTCCTGAGCTCAGTTCCATTCCTTCCCCCTTGCCGCAGTGTCCTCAGGCACACCTGAGCTTCTCCTGAAGTCTTCCAGAACCTGTTTGTCCAGGCTGGAAACGCAGACTCCCTTGCACAAAACAGAACTGCTTTGGCCAAAAGCCTAGGGGTATTGGGATCCACATGCACTTGCTGTTGTGCTGGGTTCTCAGAAAAAATGAACCCAAACCACTTGCAGCCATCTACTTGGGCCCAAGGCCTCTGTAGTCTTCGGTCATGGTGCTGCGGTGTCATTCCTCAGTGTGGGACATTTCAAAGTACACGGATTGTGAGTGTTCATGAACATAAATGCTGGGAAAAAAGGGATCGGGAAAGAAGAATGTTGAGGATGTGGTGATCCAAGCTGGCTAACGTAAGCAACTGTTAATAGACTTAAATATTAATCAGGTGTTGAAGAGGGCAGTGCGGATGGAGAAGAGCAGTTGTGATGAGAGCACCTTTCCCAAATCTGATCTCTCTGCCTCAGAGCTAGTGATGGTGGAAAAAAAAAAAAAAAAAAAAAGGACACTGCATTTGTTCACACAAAAATTCCTCTGTGGTTAGCAGACCTGACTACAGCGGGGAAAAAAGCCTGGAACAAAGGACCACCTCGAAATACTAACTTTCCACAGGAGCAGCACCGGTTGTCTGAAGTTGTAGGAACAAATGACAAATTATCAGAGTATAGTTTATGCTGTGGTTCTTAGAGGGGCCAGTGTAAGTATTAAACTTGCCAGAAGTTTCACTTCAGATATAAACTGAATTGTTTGAAAAAGCAGTCCAACCTGATTTTTCTTCCGTTTTGGGCTGCTTCTATTGTATTTCTTACCACACCTGAAGTTGCAGAGGCAGATTTCTCAAATTGCCAAGACAGTTCAAAACAAGGGCAGCCTCAAGCATCTGAAAATTAAGAGAAGGGAGGGGAAGCCCATGGTCAGGCTTCTAGGAGGGGGTTCATGGAGGGTAGGGGGAGTGGGACACTGACCATGTTGAAGCCCTGACAATGATTTAGCACTGTGGATTACTCCAGAAGATTGAAGGTCTTCTCCCCAAACGGAGCAGTTCAAAACACTGCAGACCCCTTAAATGCCAAGAAGAGCTGGCAGCTGATCCCTTAGGGCAGATCTGTTGTACACCCAGGTGGAGTGGAGCACCTGTGGCCTTGTCAGGGCATCTCCGGGTGCTGCTGGCCCACTCGGCTCCTAAACGCTTCCCAGCACCGACCCTTCCCCTGGGGAGTCTGACAAGGCTGGAAGTGAGTGAATCTCCTTTTTATAGCCGTGGGAGCTGTGCCTGTGGGTGGGGTGGCTGGCTGTGGACTCTCGGGTTACACCCGCAGCTCTGCCGCCTGCTCCCTCCGTCAGGGAGACTGTGCCCAGCAGCTGGTGCGCGCCGGGCGCCGAACGCGTGGAGTCAGCGCGGGGAGGCAAGGCGCTTCTTCCGACTGTCGAATCATCAGTTTCCCTCCCTGCTCGGCAGCCTGCTCGGCTCCGCTCGCCCGGCAGACATTTGGCTCTGACGCGGCCTCGCATTGTTGCTGGCTGAGCGCACCTCACATTTATTTTCCGGCAAACACGGTTTGCTGGCGTAACCGCGCGTCCCTCCAGATCCCGGGAGGGATGGCTGCCGGCACCGCTGCGGATTCGGGGTTGTGCTGGTAGGAGGGGAACTGGCAAGTGCTTGTTGGTCCTCGGCGTCCTGAAGCCCCTAGACAGCCCGAGCCTGTGTTCAGCAGGGGAATGTGGTTTCCTGGTAGGGTGAATTTAAAATGGCTCATCTGTCGGCAGTGGATCCCTGTGCAGACCTCGGCATGAGATCATCCTTGTTCTGCAACTGGAAAAGCCAACTTCAAATTACTTCTCTGTGTGAACTTTCTAGGCCTGGCTCTCCTCTATGCCCCTTTAGAATTTTCCTTTTGTGGAGGGATTTTTTAATGAGTTAAAGGAAATGGGCTCTAACTTTGAACTTGTTCCTTTCAGTGCTTGTTATCTTTATTTTATTAGCTTACCTAAATAATAGCCTTTATTCTCTGCAGTTTCACTGTTTACAGGAATTCTCAGAAATTACTTCTTAAAGGGATACTGTCATACAGGAAGAACACTCAAAATCTGGTTGATAAAATAGTTAATTCTTAATGAATTGGTATATTAGTGTGTATAGAAGCGACATTAAATATTTTTGCAGCTTAAACACCTCTTTAAAAATAGGGTTTCCAACACTTGCACCATATGTCCCCTTATTAAATTCTCCTCTTACTGAATAATGACATTACCCTCTGAATGACAGAGGTGCTTGTTATATGATCTGACTTAGAGATACATCTGGAACTTGGCCCTCGCGGGGCCTCAAAATAGAATGACCGATGCAGGAAGAACTTACTAGAGGACTTGTGAGGGCTCTTAGTACAAACCACTTCCACCCCTGCCAGGGCTTTGACATTGTCCAGTGAGCATATTCAAACAACACAGGGATTTATTTTCTCTTGCTTTTCAGCAGTTTCATCTTTGTTACGCTATCCTGTCTTCTCTTCTACTCTCCTTCAATATTTACTAAACTGGATCCTCCTGTAGCAGAAAGTGAATGTATCTTTCAGTATGAAGCATTAGTAACTCTTTAGGTAGCCAGTGGGAAGAACACCACCAGCAAACATGGTGCTTCCTTGAAAGTTTCTTGTCAGATGTTATCTATAGCACTGGGTGGGTTCTGAGAGGTGCTAAGGAATGTCTTGGGTCCCACAGGCACTTCCTCGGAGGAGCTCTGTCTGAAGGGGGTGGGCTGGTGGCTAAATGCAAGTAATGTATGCTATTAAGAAAATCCTGTTGTAACTGGGCAGGTATTTGAAAGTCTCAGTTGGTATTTATGAGAAGTGGGGGTGAAAGACTTGTACATAAGCAGATTTTTTAGTTTACTGTCTTTTCTTGCCTGCAGATCTGGAGTGTTAGCACCTGCTGTTAGCTGCCTTGCACGGACCCAGGAGGGTCTGAACTTTGCATACGCAGCTGATACTGCGTTTAGGACAGACCTTTAGGGCAGCTTTTTCTAACCAGGTGTATTCGTCTGAGCTCCCAGCAAGTGCTGTGTGATGTTTTTAACTTACAGGAAGGCCAGTCGTCAGCAAACGGTCCATCTCGCGATAGTCCCAAGCAGCCACCGGCAAGAGAACGAAACGTGGGCTACCCCAAGCTCCGGGCTGGCTACATCCCTATTCCCGTCATCCATGAGGGCATCGATGGCAGACAGCAGCACCCCTGCTTTTCTGCTCCGCAGCCTGGTGTGCAGCGATACAAGACAGAAGCTGTGCCTCCCCCGGTGCAGGGGCAGCCACCTCTCAGGGGGGGCTACGCCGGCCCCGAGTCCCCTCCACGGGGACCGACGGAGGCTTCTCAGGCAGATAAACAGTGTGGACAGACAACGGCAGCTGCAGCAGCCCAAGCGCCGGCCGCACACGGACCCGAGGTAACTCCTCAGCGTTGCTGGGGTGTGTTTGCATTGGTCTTTGCAGCATTTACGACCTGAATGTCACACGGGTAGTTTATCCTTCAGAAAGCCAAACTTGCCACAGGATTACATTTTCCCAATACTTCCCGGAGTATTAAAGTGCAAAAGTGCACAGTCATGGCAGCATAAATATGTAAGGTTTTTCTAGCATCGCCGGCTTTCATTCTGGAATGATTCTGTGGAAATAAATGCATGTAAACGGCTTCTGCCTCTGAGCTGTGCAGGTCCTGCAGCAGGGGAGGATTGGTTTAAGGTTTATACCAGTTCCCCTGCAGGCGGAGAATAATGGCAAGCCTCTTGTGTTTGGCACCGTGAGTCAGATCCTGAAGTGATCAAAGTGGGAGAGACAAAAATAAAGTGACCAGTTAGCTAACAACACAGGCCATTGCAGAAGTTACACTGCTGTGATCTTTGCTTTCCAAATTAATACTGCAGTTGTAGATATGTCAGTCTGTACACCTAGTACAGCTTTAAAACTGCATTGTAAAGTATTTTTGTCGTTCAGCGGCACATAAAAACTGTTTCAATCTATGAACTTTAAAAAAAGTCACCCTGCTTGCTTTGTGCTTCAGAAGGTGGAATTTTGGTTTGCCTGTTCTCTCTAGAGAATTAGCAGAATTGGTATTCTTGTAATGTATGGAAATATCGACCTCATTTTTATTCAAAGTTAGATGAGCAGGAAAATCAGCGTCCACCAAGCCAAAAATATATCATCAGGTCTGTAATTGAGCAGTGGTGACTTTTTCTCTGAAACCTGTTTGTAGTCTGAACAATGTAATTAAAATTCTGTTAGCAGGTTTCTCAGCTGTCTTGACTAACAATGCCTTGTCCATGCAGTTCTGAGACAAGAGGCTCAGCTCTTCCTTCTCCCAACACCGTACAGCTTTGTCATGTACGCAGAGCGGCTTCAGGAACATGTCTTCTGTGCCTCTTACTGAAGTCCTCTGAGATGACTACTGAGGACCTCAGAACTTGCTGTTACAAACTTAGGCAGCGCAGTGTGGCTATCAACTGACCAGAGCCTGTGATTGTGCCTTAAAGCCCCATGTCAAGAAGGCCACCAGTAGTGGCAGTGATGGGTGCCGTAATACAAACTGGCATTCATTTATTTAAGGTTGCTGTTTCATGGGCAGCAGGGCAGTTGACCAGCACCAAAAGAGGGATCTTGTTCCCTTTCCTCTCCTGCTTTCCCTGCCCTTCTCTTGACTCTGGCTGTGTTGTCCTGCCCACTCCTCTGCCAGCTCCAGTCTGACCTGGCCTTTCACTGAGCCTCGTAACAAACCTATCAGGAAATAATTTTTTTCCTCGTAGTGAGTGAAACTGGTCAGAACAGCCTGACAGCTGCTGGAGTTGGTGCAAAGCAGAGGAGGTGATGGATTGGTGTAACAGGAGGTGGGAGGGAGCTGTGAGCAAATAAACTGCCTTTCCCCAAACTGCAGACCCATAACCCGGAACATGCTGGGAACTTGATTTTGCAGCGAGCCTGGCACTCGTTTCCACTAACAGCTAGTGCCGCTCTTGTTGCTGGTGCCAAGAGGCGAAGGTGTTGGGAGGTCTTGGAGGGGGAAAGGGGGCATTAGCCATACAAGCATTGCCATAGCCTGCTGCTGAATTAATTACATGCTTTAAAAAAAAACTGAAAAAAGACCAAAATCTGTTAGTGTCACTGGAATCAGAAGTCTAAAAGTTGTGTGCCTCTGTTAGGGGTTTGTTTTTGTCTCCAGCATATAATTTGTTTGCTTAACTTTAGTTTACCTCAAATTTAACAGGTTTAAACAGGAACAGCCATGTGAAAGCAGCAAACATTCTGACTGAGCACCCACTCCCTGCTCATATGAGGGCTGGGAATGCTGTAGCTCAGGTTTCTACTTGTTATAATGATGATCTCTCCCAACTTCTGTGGTTTGTTTGGTGAGGCCCTTGGCCAAAAAAACAAGGAAATGGATCCCTCACATGCCGGAAACACAAGTCCCGTTTCTATGACTATCTCCTTTTCTCTTTGGAAATTAAAAGTACTGTAAGCACAAAAATGGCTAAAATATAATAATGGATTTTGTTTTCATGGCAGCCTCAATCTCCTGGAGCTTCTGATTCTCCAACAGTTTCCCCTCAGTCCTCTGCCAGACCCAATGCAGGAAGCCATCAGCTTCCTCGCGGTTATATTCCAATTCCTGTGATCCACGAAAACATCCAACGGCAACCAGCGCAAGTCTACCACCAGGCACAGAAGACACACTACCCTGCCCAGCAGAGCGAATACCAAGCCCACCAACCGGTGTTTCACAGAATCCAACCAGATGAGAGGGAGCCTAAGCCAACGCGAGCGCAGTCTCCATTCAGAGTGTCTCAGAGAGGCTCATCGAGCCGTGAAAGTTCACCGGCCAGAGTTACCACCCAGATGCAGCCCCCAGCTCCCATCAGAGTGCAGACAGTTGTAGACAGACCCCAGGTATGTAGAATGAGGAGGGGAATTTCCTGCCAGGTATTTTGTTCAGTGTGGCTAGAGCTGAAAAATTTGCTTGTGTTAATAGGTACATGAAAGCATGTAAAGCAGTCTCCATTTCTCAATTTAAACAAACTGGGAGATACTGCAATAATACTAGCAGCATGTTGCATTTCCACCTATCAGGACTGTGGAGTCTTTGGATCACTGAAATATGATTTAACACAGGATTTCATTTTCCTCTCATCAGAGTATAATTTGTTGTAATTACACTGAGGTCACTGATGTTGCATTATGTTTGTGAGAAGAAAATCAGGTCCGCGGGATTTGTGTCATCTATGTAAATACACCTCATTGATGTCTCAGAACCATTTAGGATAGCATCAGATGCACAAAGTAATTTTAGTTATGAAGAAAGAGGATCAGCAAAATCTAGTCTTAGAGCTTTTAATTTTTCCTACATGAAGCATGCTCTTGCTCATAGAACATGTTGCTCATTGAATGTTCTTTGCATGTTAAAATGCTTACTAAAACTACAGTTAAAGACCACTGGGAATTTGACAACTGTGAGTGTGTGGAAGGGGGTACGTATAAAAACAAGCCCTGATGTCCTTTCTGGAGAGATTTCATACTGAAAATGCCAGGAGCAGAACTGGGTTAATATTTTTGAAAAAACAGGTGCTAGGACAAAACAATGAAGACTTCAGATTTAATGTCATATTCTAGGTTATAATGCTAATTTACTTTTACAGGTGAGAACTTGAGCTCCCTGATGATATTTTACATTTAACGGGTAAAGCAGTAACAGACTGTCAGTGCAGGCCATTTACTTATTTGGTTTAAATATAAATATTTTACTTCAGCCATCGAAATCCGTGAGAGCTGGATCTAGTGTTTTTCCAGAATCACTGTATATGCACACAAATAAGTGAAGGGGGTGGCAGGGGAAGGAAAATATAGATCTCACAAATTCTAGTTTTCTGCTAAGATCTCAAAACTAATCTCAATTTCAAGAGATTTGTGATTTGACTGTTAGATCCGTGGTAATTCCAAGGATTGTCTCTAATTGCTACAGTGTAATAAGATTGACATAGTAACCTCTGCATGTAAATATTCTAAAGATAGGATCAGTAAAAATAAGCACTAGCAAAAAAAAAAAGATTCTCCTGAAAACAGGAATGGGATGAAAATAGCCCCACATGTGATTAAAACTCATCAAAGTAGTTACCTTTTCAAGAAACACCAGCTCTCAGTTAGTGACACACTGAGGATGAAACTTGACTGTGATGCAGTCAGCTGCAACAAGTGTTTCTTAAGTCAGGTGAGGGCTTTGCTCTAAGGTAGTATTTTATAAAACTGTTTGTTAGGGCTGATTTTAGTGAGCATGGGCAGGATTTGGTGAGTTGAAGTTTAATGTCTTTGAGAGTTGATTGGTGCTTGTAATCTGCAATAGTCTGAAAGCAGGAACTGAACTCTTTAGGACAGTGCTTTTTTTTTAAAAAAAAAAAAAGTAAAATTCAGCAATGCACAGGAAATACCATCTGATGTGTGCAAAAATTGCACTTCTAGAAGTACAGAAAACTGGATGTTAGGTTACTTGTTCTTTAGAAGAAAATAAGGAGCATTGTTCATTGTGTCTCAACACAAACTTGCCTTACTCACTAGGTTTCTCAGCAACAAGTCCCACCTCAAGAGCCACCAAGACCATCCCCACCACCTGAAATCAAACCTGAAAACAAGGCAGTCCCACCACCCGAAACTGAGGCGCCATCACCATATATCCCAATTCAGGTCACCCACCAAGAACCAGATCTTAAACTACCACCCCAGAAGCCTCCAGCCATGGCAGAAAAAGCTGATAAAAAGGTTCCCTGCCAAGCTAAGGTGGTTGCCCCACAGGAAAGGCCTCCTGCTGAAGAAGCAGCAACACCGAAGACAATGGAAACAGGAGAACCTCAAAAGCACCCTGGTGTTTTGAAAGTGGAGGCAATTCTGGAGAAAGTACAAATGCTTGAGCAAGCAGTCAACTCCTTTGAAGGCAAGAAAACTGACAAAAAATACTTGATGATTGAAGAGTATTTGACCAAAGAGTTGCTAGCCCTAGACTCAGTGGACCCTGAGGGTCGTGCAGATGTGCGCCAGGCCAGGAGAGATGGTGTAAGGAAGGTCCAGAACATTTTGGAAAGACTTGAACAGAAAGCAGAAGATGTCCCAGAACCTGTTCAAGTTGATGGACTTCAGCCAAATTTGCCAGAGCCTAAGCCACCACAGGAAATCATGGAAATTGAACCTGTTGTAGTCAAGAACAAGGGAGGTACCAGTAATGAAGATGCTAAAGAGGAAACCAAAATGGAAAGACATCAGCCTGAAACTAAGGAAGAAGTGTTTACCAATCTCACCACCACAACAAACACATCTAATAATCCAACTGAACCGTAGCCACGTGCTGAAATTAAAATCTCTCAGACTTCATAACTTAAAGTGTGTTTAAGTGAATTTTAAGTTGCATGCATTTCCAGAGCTCTTTTCAACTGGTTTTTAATCAACATAGCAGCTTGGGACACAGTAAACACTTTGTGGGGGAAGGAGGGAGTTAAAAAGAAAGTAATGCATTTATCCTTTATTCTTACACTATGTAAAAGACATGTTTCAAAAATAAACCCTGTACATTAATCACCTTCAGATCAGCTGAGTGGAAAAAGAAAAACAAACCAACAGCTTCAGGGTTAATATTGATGCGTGTTGTTTAGGGTGTATTCTTTTGCAGGTGATTTTTGTAAAATCAGTGGCCTGCATTGTCAGAATACCAGTCCTTCTTTAAGTATAGCCACTCTTAACAGTAATGTTTTTATTTTTAATGTTCACAGTTGGGCACTTTAA